TAAAATATTTTGATTGAAAAGTCATATTAAAAAATTGACGACTACGTGTTTGATAAAGATGCATGGAAAGACGACATGGCTCTATATTCCACACAAATCTGATTCAAAGTGTATTCCATAGCATTTAAGTTTATTTGAAAAGAGCAATCCCTAGAGTTTCTTGCTCGTTCTTTTCAGGGAGGTCAGCGTAGTGAACGAGCAGTAGGTTAAATGTGACGTTTTCAAGCGTAAATTTATTTTGCCTATGGAATAAATGATTCTTTCACTTTGAAAGAACATTTTAATAAAAAAAAAATTACGCCTTTCCTACGTAATGTGTAGCCAAAGTAGTTTATGTTACATATAATACAAATTTTACCAATTATAGGTCTGTTTTCTTCCATTGGCCTAATTAGATATATTGAGTTAATGGGGTGAGGTACCTTTCATCTTTCTTAAGGTTTTTACATAAAGCACCATGTATAAAGTGCTTTATAAGCTCTATTTACATAAATTTTATTATTAAAGTCCATCTAGCCTAAAAACGTATAATTAGCGATTCATATATTTCTCAAGCATCACAAAACCAATTTAAACTTACTTCCCCTAAGCAAACTTTATAATGATTGTAGTAAAACTTCACGATATAGACCTGTAGGCTGTATAAGAGCTGTATAACACAATAATAATACCTTCGTTACGACCTGAGGCCGCACATTAATTGCTCCTTTGTATTTATGACGGCTGTTATAAAATTTATATGTCATATACTACTTATTGAGCTCTTGAAGGGATTTATGAGAACTTTGAGCTGATTGTGGTTATCTGAGTTATTATTTCAATCATGATTTCAGTTTTAATTTGCAAAGACATTAATTGTTGTATAAATCATTGTTTTTGCTGTGTAGTTGCTTAGCTCATGACCTTCACGTCTAATGCAAAATACCAATTGGAATGCTTCATCCACTGGCTTAAATGCAACATGAGTTAACATGCAGACCGTAAAAATGTAACTGCCTACATCACTTCATGAACTAAAGTCCGTAGCTCATCATTCTGCATTCACATCACTCATTACTGTCCCAAATAAACAGTTATTCGTATCGGTGGTGTAAGCATTGTCGCTTAAAATTATTTAACCGCGTTTATACATTTACACAACATTTTTTTTGTGATAACCGTCATCGTATTCAAAAAAGCCATATTAAATATGCTTAATCCCAAATAGGGTTATTGTTTGAACAAGTGGCATCTCGAGTATCGTGAATTTCTTCCCATTGTCAGCCTTTTGTAGCTTAAAAAGGGATGACAGTTTAAATAATCTTTACAATGCCCGAGGATTTGTGAAAATTATGAGTTAAATACATGTTTGAATGAGGCATTACTCGGAAATTGTCGTTTGGCTTGACAGTTCTTTGTGTTCAAGGGTTTTGGTATTAAAGGCGCTTGGTTAGAAGTTTTTTTTTTGTATTTAAGAACTAGACTGATCTAATGTCAGACGCAATATTATTGAAAATAAAATCACTTTGGTAATAAATCTTAATAACAGATGAAACCAATTTTTGTAACGTTTCGGGTTCTTTACAGGTTACGACTTACGCAGCTTAATAACAAATTAAATATGCTTATTATATTATTGTGTGGACACTTGAACAGCGTGTTTTAAAGTTTTAGTATCTTCTAGACCGTCTATATTTATTATATAGGCTGGTATATTAGGTGAGGTGTGATGGTTGTTCTTAACTCGTATTTAGAAATGTGAATTCTCTATTCTTGTTACATAATTTTGGTTTGAGTTAGGTAATGGGCTAAGAGTCATTATTCCGGGATCGATTAAAGTAGCAGTCCGTAGTGAGGGTATCATGTGAAATATTCCAGACGCCTCCACCACACGGTGAGCGGTCAGAGAGAGTAAGTTATGGTGATAATCCAAAATTAAAATTGTATTTAGCAGTTCTTGGAATCTATTAAAATATAACATAGCACAAAAATAAGCTTTTGTAACATTTTTCAAATATTAAAGAACATCAAAAGTGTCACATTCTGTTATAATTATTAATACAAAGATCGAACACTCAGAAAAAACACTCAGGAAAAATTCCTTCGATCCGGTCCGACCGAGTTTTCTGTGTGTTCGATCTTTGTATTAATAATTATAACAAACTAGTGGAGTAATTTCACAAAAAATAATTGAATATCAATTCAATAAAAATTTAATTGTCACATTCTGACTAAAAAATTTCAAACAAGACTATTTATATTTAATGTTAAAATTCTATTAATCATACGCTTTTTAATACGTACAATATATTCACTAAGAAACTTATATCAAATAACAAATTTACAGTATCATTTCTTCTTTAAAATGCCCAAATAAAAAGCACGCAGCAATCATGCTCCGGCTGTGCAGCAAACAGGCAAATATTTGCCCGCGTCAGGCTCACTGCGACGCGTCGCTGCAGCTTACTGCGCCGGTCAATATTTACCATGCGCACGCGCATAGGGCTGCCATTTTTTAATTTACATATTTTTGCTCTTAGTTAATTTCAAGGAACGAACAGTTGTGTGGACAAGTGTGTATTATATTTACTTCACAATTATTCGAAAACTGTAAATAGTTAACAGTGATGACAAATAATGAAAGGGAAGTGGTGTAAAGTCCACCATTGTATTAGTTTCAAGCAATCGCAAAAGAAATCGATGTAAATGCATGGATATACGACAAGTACATTTTAAAACAAAACAACAACTAAACGATTATAGACAAAATGGGAATATTTTGAAATTCATATGGTCTTTAAATTTGAACACCCTGTATTCATAATGAAATACCGACCACTGTTTCAACCAAACAAAGTAGAAAAAAATAAAATGAACTGCTAAAGTCTTTTATAGAAAAGTGACAACCCTACAAAATTACGAATGAACGAGCAGCGTTCCAGAGCAAACTTTAAAATAATAAGGAAATCTCGCAAGTTTATCTTACACCGCTACTTTAAAATGAAACTGACACTCTTGCGCACATATTTACCTATCAATGTATTGTTACACTGTTGCAATGCCACAATTTCTTATGACATGAAATTTATATGTCACTTATTAAAACACACATCTGTTTATTTTAATATAAAAGCTCGTATGGTCTATTTAAGTAGGTGGCTTTATGATTTTGAAACCAAGTCTGAAATGATGTTTATGTTACATGTTCTCACTGCAAGTTTCGTTTTTGTTGGAAATTGTTAAATAAGAATTTTATCCATATGGGATTAATAACTCTGTAACAAGATAATGAAGTGAAGTTCTGGAATAACACTTATGTTGAATGATGTTTCTGTATTTTCTAACGTTGATGTTGTTTGAAATTACTACACAAGTTAATAACTCTGTGTGAAGATTTTAAGTTACGTTCCGGAATGTCATTTATATATATACGTATAAACTTTATTGAACAACAAAAGAAATTGTTTTAACAAAGAATTTAAACGTTAGTGTACAAAGGCGAGCTTATTCCATGAGAGGATTTCTTAACCAATTTTATGTAGTAAATTTGTTTTAAAATTTAATTTAAAAAGTTAATACAGAGTTTTAGATCTTTGAGATTATAAAAGGTAATGGAATGTTATTAAAGTTTCTGAATGTGCTTCAAAGCATTAAAGTAGTTCTACTCTTTTAAAAAAAAATCCTTTTCTCGAAAATTCTACCAAAAATCCTTCCTCATTCATGACTTTCAATCCTAGGTCGTGTTGACCCACAAAAACCAATATTTACTGATGTGAACCAGAATCTAAAATACCAATAAGCTACTGTACTTAACAAATATTGGACGTACTCTAATGTATTCGGGGAATCACTTTTTAGTGTTGCTACTCGGAAATATTCATGGTGTAATCAAAAAGAGCGTAAGGGCTTCACCACATTTATGCTTGAGCCGGAAAGCAGGGACTTTAACACAGCACAGGTTACAAACATAAGTAATAACACAAGTTTAAACAACAATATTCGACTAATGTAAACACCGCGGTTTTAACGACAAATTTATTAAGAGTGTATATGTATACCTCAAATCGCTTTGGCTTATTCCGGATAACAGTGAGTGTTGAATCAATCATTTTGGAAAAAATATGTAGTAAAATTGAGGATAATACGCTGATTATTATACGGTGTGATAACACGATTTCTAAAAATTTTCACGATAAGAAAACACAAACTTACCTCGATATTTTACAAGAAAACCGCTGTGCGTTGTTTTGTAATAAACTGTAAATACATTTACTTTGGTTTTGCACAATCTTTGATAGCATCCACCCGAATCCATTGACACAGTCCGTTACATACTTTGATCCTTTCGCACAGCTGTCAATCAGAACATAAATAATAGTATAGGGACAGACCCAAGACGTCAGAGATGACGACACCATGAAAACCAATGTGCAAGCTACTCGACCACGAAGGTTGTCAAAAGAAATATACATGCAGACAGATATTGACGTTAGACTTACAAAACCATTCTTTTTCGCGTGGGGTTTTAAACATGGTCCTTTATTACACTACATCTGATATCTGTGGAATTAAATATTGTAACCCACGATTTAACGCCAGTTGTATTGAAATATAACAAAGTTAATAAATTTATTGTTAAAACTACGATATTCACATTAGATTGAATATAGTAATTTAAACTTGTGTTATAATTATATTTGTATCCTATGCCGAGTTAAAGTCCCTGCATGAGCTTGATTCAAGCCGTCTTCGGGTTACTAGTGATGTGACGTTTGTTTATAGAGATTTTCAGTTATCGATATTTTTACATTTCATGAAGTTGTTTATCTTTGTAGATTTTAATACTCTTCGTGGTTATTCCCTAAAGGATTATCACTAATTACAGGTTTCTTACCACGGTGTGATTTCTTTTATTTTCCCGGTATATCGGAACGGTTACACGCTCCATGATCAAGGGTTCACTATTCTTCTTTGTATTGTTTTATGTAAATACAAATGCATTCATATTTTTTTTGTTTCAGATACTGGTGAGTTTTCCTTTGCAACCATTAAAATTGTGAGTTTATTCTTCCTTGTTTATCTTTTTGCAACCATGATTTTGATTATTGTAATTAAATAAGCCTTTATTGGAGGCCACATAAAATTACTTCAAAATATCGATCGATGGTAGCTGTTAATCTTGCACATGCACTTTTATTTCACATTACCTAGTGATCGTCACGACTAAAGTACCAGTTATTTGAATGACACATCACCGCAATTTAATAGTTTAGGATTGTTTCTAATACTTTCGAAATCATAGTGCAGTCTATCGATAAACTGTTAATTCAGCAAACATCTCTAGCCTTTCTTCTCTTACAATAATGGTCGGGGCGTGGTGAGCGAGCACAAAACGAACACCAGGCGTGGAACAGGTATATATTGTTATTACCACGTGACGAATATTGGTAATGCGCACGCGTACAGTTTGAGTGCGTATACTGTGATGTTTGACAGAACTATTGTATTTTCTACATATCGACTATCGTAGATTCCTTATTTTTTAAAGGATGAGGGTAGATTAGTTAATATAACGCCAATCAACCGTGACCATGGGACCTGTAAAGAGCCCGAAACGTCGGTTTGTTTGAAAAAACAAATATACGCGATTTAAATCCGGAAAAATAGTTTCATTTCCTATAGTTAATATAAGTTTAAACTAATTGTAACTTCAGTAGTTGTAGAGCTCCTTGTGAAAGAGTTCGTCCAAAGAAATACTTGCTACCTTACCTATTTCTGCTACCAAGTGGCGATGTGGCCATTACTACGTTTAGATTTTGAAGGATAAGAGTGCTGGTGAAATTACAGGCACATGGGACTTGACAGAACACAGTGACAGTGCCCCTTGAATGTTTCAGTTTTAATGCTCTGAGTGGTACTGCAACTTTTGGGGTCATGCTTGCGCTTACTGGTAGGTGCACAATTATTCGTCCCGTCATTTATATAAAAAAACCTTTGCGACCATTGACTTACAAATAAATGGACGACGGGTCTAATACAAAAACCACGAAAAAAATGTCCCAAGTCAAACTATTTAAAAGTAGTGACATGTAAAGGAATATGAAAAAGCTAAAACGTTGAATTTAAATTGTAATGTCATCGCAGTACTGTCTAATTTTGCTTGCTTCGCTGTCAGTCGAACAAACGAAGACTAAAGCGTGAATGACGCTCTGTATACGATTTTAACGCCCTATAAGTTCGGACACTTTTTAGCGCAGACCCGACGTCCATATAATTGTAAGTCAATGTTTGCGACCCATCCATTATCTGGGCTTTCGACACTAAAAGACGCCATTTGTTTTTCTATTATTTTCTGATAAAGTACAGATCCTTTCTATTCAACATGAAACTATATTAATTAAATTAAAATTAAGTAATTTTGTACCAGCACATATTAAAACAAGCAAGTCACATAGGCTCAAAACTGACTTACAGAGAACTGTAGAGTACTTACCCCCTAATGATTGAGAACACACCAAAAATTAAACAACACCTGATACCTGAGCAAAAACGATACTAAGATTGAAATCGCGCAGGTTTTCTTTTTCTTATCAAATGGGCCTATGATTCAGCTACACTTACACTTTAGTACTTAGTCCTAGCGATATTCTAAACATAAACCTTAATTTATTTATTTATTAAAGGACATCCAACAGCATTTACAAATACAGATACCAGAGCAAAAACGAGAGCAAGATTGAAATCAATTTGGTATTTTTCTGCAGTTTCAAGTCAGGCTTTTCTCGGTAAACGCCATTTCGTCGTATTTTTATGATCTCACTGTTTTTAAATGCTTTACATCAAACAATTATTTATTACTACGTACTTAATCTTGAAGAAGCCAAACAAGTTATTCCGTAAATATAGTTAGATATAACAAAGAAAGTATTTACTTTAATGGCGGAGACTATAAAATCTTCATTTTCATTTGATTACCCATGTTGGTTGTGGATTAAAGACGTAGAAATAATAGCCTTAATTTTCTGGCAGACGTAAATTTCTAAATGGCTTTGGAACTAAACGCGTTTAATTGAAGGAAATGTACAATCTTCTACGTCAGGTAGCAAGACACTAATTTTGATGTATGGTTATTGCAAACTATAAAAAAAATCCGTCTTGATTAATCCGGAGCTCTTAATTATGAAAATCGACTTGAGCGTGTTCAGTGTTTACGTGCATTTATCTTGACATGTCTCGTTTATCTTCTTCGAGAGTTTTATTTATATGCCTTATTTCTTATCCTTTACTGCTTACACCTTTCTTATTATCATACATATTAAATTCTAATGACGTAAAAATGACTCGAAAGAAGAAAAAAAGGATAGAGTTCGTGACTAAAACTCGCACCATAGCACGTCGTACGTCCTCTAATGATAGTGATGCGCCCGCTTCTATATAATTTAGTATGGATTGAGTTATTAGTACCAAGATATTATAAACGAGTACTGGTTTAATGCGGTCGACGTCTTAATGTGATTTTGATATGGAGCGTTGAGAGACGGGAATTCGGTATCACGGTTTAGAGAAACGAGATTTCGGTTTTTTCGGGCCTCTATTAAGATGTTATGGCGGAAACTATTAAGTAATCGTTTAGATTCAAATTTACACCACTTTAATCGAACAAGCCTCGAGTGTGATGTTTATCATTCCCTTTTTATTTATATCTATAATTTTCGCGGTCATTGACCCGTAATATGTTTATTATATGACATAATTATGATACAAAATTTACACATAATCACCGGAGAAACAAGCACTTTGAATAATTTTATGATAATGACCGTATTATATCTAGGCAATTGTCATAGTCTTGTTATACAACGTTGTTGTACGTCTTGAGCTACATAATGTAAGAAGGAGACAATATCGACTTAATTAGCTGTTGAGATTTTTTCTCCCTATACAAATGACCTTATTATGTTTGGTCCTTCGAGCCGGATCGTGGGCGTTGGTTTGTCGCTTTCTTTCCCTCTTGAATTGATTATAGCGTTTTTTGTCTTTTTTCTCTCGCATTGTAGGGTAATCATCGAATGTCGTTATCTTCCTTAATGATCTCAGATTAACATGTTCTGATGGGATGGTGAGGTTACTGTGTTGAGAGAGTGCGATGAAGCAGTTGACGAAATTACGGAATGATTGTCGAGACAAAAACCAATAAAACAACAATCATAAACCCATTTATATGTCCACTGATGGGCATAGGTCTCAATCTCAGGCAAGGGTTTCGGGCATGGTCCGTCACGTTGACCCTATGCGGGTTAGAGCCTTTACACGTTTTCCGAGGTTTGTGAAACTTCTTCGACGTGCAGGTTTCATTACGATGTTTTTCTTGCGAAGTCACGATCTCTGCTTAAGAGGTGGCAGGTTAAATCATTAGGCCACTACGGCTTTTATGTATAATAAAAAATCGGTGTTTAATTTTTTTGATACATGATGCATACTGGGGTATGCAGTCACCTCTATGCCCCTATCTATTACCAGGGCTTCGCGAGTGCAGCTGGTCGTATACAGCGGGCACTAGAACAGATGAGACATACTTAGCGTGGAGGTCCGTAAGCAAAAAGTTTTTGAGTCGGGTTGATATAGTCCCATTTCACCATGTTGTCTCTGCATTAGCCAACTTGTGTCCTTAGACGGTTCAGGGACTTTCAAATGACCACTGCAACTCGTGCTCAGAAGGAAACCTTGTGACTTTACTGGATGACAACAACACAGCGTTGTTTAAATGTAATACGAAATTGCAGAACAATGGTGTGCAAAGGCAAGAATAAACCAGAAGTTTAGACGTCAAACGGCTAATGACGATAAAACTTATGTGTCATCAGAAAGAAATGCCCCTTTATTTTCTTTAAGCCCTTCATAATGTTGGTTATTTAAACTAACTATGTAACTAATGTAGCAACTAATGAAAGCAATATTTTATATTAAACCAGATTAATATCTAATAATAAAATTCTTTAAAAATGTACTCCAGTACGCTTGAAATCGCTGTACAAAACTGACAGAATAAAATACGACGTTTCGCCTCCCATACATATTCATAACTTCTAGCCGATCGATCGAGATAGTGTAGGTGTTTTAAGTATTTGGCTATAGTGATTTATGACTTTATTCTGTGGAAACTCTTTTAGTAACGGCAGGTGGAATAAGAATTTTTTATGTATGATTTGGTAGGTGTTTTATATCAGATGCATTTTTATCATATAATTTGGTACAAGTCGGTAGCGTAACAATAGGGAGAATGGGAGCTGGAGGGCACGGAAGAACCTTGAAATTGAAGATCTGTTTACCATACCTGAAATTGTGGGAGAAACAAAAGCGGCAAGACTCCGATGGCTTGGACACGTGGAGAGAATGGGAGAAGATGACTTGTACTTCGAAACGTACTTGAGACGACTGATTCGTGAAAATTTTTAGTAATCGGGTTTTCACACCATATAGTAATCAGTGTAAATCCTCAATTTTACTATGTTTTTTTCCTAAGTGATTGATTCAATACTTTCATTGTTATGCGGAATCAACAAACGTCATTTGAGGCAGTATAGACTCTTAAGATGAAGTTAACGATTACTACCAGTTCTCACGTGTAATAGTTTTCGAAGTTCAATAACTTTTAAAATATTTAAAGCCGTTCTTTTCCATAATAACGGATTACAATACACAATTATCACAAAATCCGTCTGATGGTCTGTTATGAGCACAGAAGTTGCAAGTCATTTAGCATCTGATTAAGACATCCGAAGGGATCCTAATGACGAAATGAGTTGCGTCTTCTTTATGGGGAAGCAATTAATTTTTAAAATTCAAGGGCTTTCGAATTATTATTTGAACACTCTGTATATCATCAACATTCCTAGTTGTTATAAACTTTTGTTCAACCTTCACACTTATTCTATATACTCTTGATTCTAGACGAGATTGTTCTTATTCTAAATACCCTTGATTCTAGAAGAAGTGTTTAGCTGTAATGTTCGGGTCACGATAAAGG